TCTTTGAGGTCTCTTCCAACCATAATGATTCTATGATTCTAAGGTGGATGGAGGCTGAGGGTTTGAAGTGCTGTTTCTGGCAACCTCCCTGAGCCGAGGGCTCTATCAGAGATACTCGATGCTCTTTCCTTGTGAGGGAGGGTGGGGAGGCTGGCAGGGGTGAGGCGGAGATGGGTGAGCTCTGGCATCAGACAGGGAAGCCGGGCGGGCAGGTGGGAGGGCAAGACGTGCTTCCTCTGATCCAGGAGGGCAGTTTGGGTTTGCCTTTGGAGGGTTTGTTTTAAAGACGAGGTTGGTGCAGAGGAGCAGGCGTTACAGCCGTGCGCACACAGGCGGGTGGCTGGGGCTCGGTGGAGGGGCCTCCTCCTCGGCACGGCAAGGCGGCAGCCAGGCAAAGGGCTCGCGGCTCACCCGTGGCTCCTCCACGAGCAGCTGGGCAGATACACATCACGCTTTGCGTAAGCTTGTTAGAGATGCCAAAAAGCACACGGCTGGCAGAGAATAACCGCATAAACAAGGCTGGTGTTTACTGTGTGATTTAGGCCTTGTCCCAAGCAAGCAACGCTCCATCATTCCCTCTGGAAAGCTCTGTGAGCAGAACAGTTATTTACTGCCTGTTAAACCGAGCTGCTACACAAGTCCCGTTCGACTTGTTAATGACTTTAGCGACCGCAATTCATTCTGAAGAAGCAAATGATGAGAGTAAAATACCAACATCACCTTTCGGTAGATGTAATTACTGGGTCAGGAGAGTCGCTTTGCTTTCATAATTCACCGCCTGGAAAAAGCGCACGGATGCGACCGGCTGCATTCGCCTGGGGCTTGACGAGCATTGAAGCTTGACCTGAGCTCATCCTGGAGGGTGCTGAGCACCTGCAGGGAGAGTGGGGCTGGTGGCACGGCTGGCAAAAAGCGGCATGGGGTGTGGAGAAGGGCCAGGTTTGGGTGAGAGCAGCCCAGAGTTCACGTTAAATCCTCTGCCTGCCGGGGTGCGTTAGTTACCGGCTCTGCCACACATCCCCTGACGTCGGCGGACGGGAGTTTTACTGCTTCTGGGTCCCTACGGACACGGCCACGCTGCGACACCATCACCACCTCCTGCCCTCTCTCTTTTGCGTGGTGGCACGGTTGTAGCCTGGAGCTCGGAAGTCAGGCGCTGCTGGTGGTGCCGGCTGCGCGGTCCCATCCTGACCCTGCGCCGCGGGCGGGCAGGAGCAGGGACAGGATCCCCGGAGCAGGGGCAGGACCCCCGGAGCGTGTGCCCCAGGCACGCGTGACTCACTGGGAGGAGGCGGGCGAGCATCCTCAGATGACGGCCCTGGGACCCGTCTCCGGAGCTGGTGTTTGAGTTCAGCTGTCAGAGCGGGAGCTTGGAAGCATCGCGGGGAGGGTTTATTTGGGGACAGCTCAACAGATGCTGGATGAAACACAAAGAGGAGCGACATCCCTGGGCATGGAGAGACTTTTCTCCTCCTCAGTGCTGGCTGAGCTCTGCTGAGCCCCGTGGGTCAGAAACGGCCCGCGGCCCCCGGACTGGGGCAGGGGCGGACAGCTGCCCAGAGCAGCCCGAGCTCCCGGATTGCTCAGCAACCTGATGGAGTGTCTCAGATCTCCTCTTGCACCCACAGACCCTGCCTTAGTAATGGTTCTCTT